AAATGAGTACACTTTAAAGGCTTCCTGAGCGGATGGAAATGGAAATTAATATACGTGTTCGCTGGCGCTCATGGGGAAAAAGAAGTCTTTTTGCAACTTATAACAGAATGAACTAAACTATCGTCAGTCAAATTTTCACTATTGCATAGCACATATTGAATTCTACCTCGAAGACAAATGAGAGCACTTGAAACACTTCCTGAGCGAACAGGGGTGGGAATTACTGTGCGCATTCTCTAGTTACTTAGGACACAAATGAGAGCACATGGAGCACTTTCTGAGAGAATTGAGACAGAAATTACTCTGTCCGTTCCCTAGTGTCCATAAAGACAAATCAGTATTTCTCGACTTATAATCGACTGGTTTAAGATATCATTAATTTGAGTTTAGCATTCAAGAGAGTATGTTGAATTCTAGTTGGAACAGAATTAAGAATACTTGCAACGCTTCCTGAATGAATCGGGACAGAAATTAATCGAATCTGGTGCTAATTTCACGGCGGTAATAATTGTATGATGTCATAACACAGTGAAGAAACTAAAAAAGTCAAGATTCGAGAGTTGTGTGAGCTCGAAACACAATGGTATCGACTCTTGTTTGTGTTTTAGAACTTTTTTTTAATGTACAGCTTTTGAAAATATATCAGTAAATGGTGCAACGTCTGTTTGATGAAGACTAAATGAGTAATATGTTTGGTATCTGTAGATATATGGTCAAACTCAACCTAACTAATAAGGAAAGAGCTATGGAGTTGTTAATAATAGGGATAATAAAATTGTTTTCTCTTTTCATACAAGACGAGTATCGTCACTATAGTTCTATCAAATTTTGTTCAATTGATCAAAAAAAAACTAACTATAGATATGTGAAATATGTTTTTGCACATATGTTTTTATTCGCTTTCATTTATATTCTTTTATTAGGAAACTTCAACATTTCTCAACACCACAAACTAATTAAAATGCCATGTCATCTGTTTGTAAATGTTTATATCCTTGATGATAATCATTATCATCATGTTGCAATCTTTGATTCTTGAGAGTTTTGTTTTTGACTGGTTGAAAATTGAGTAATAGAATAATAAGTTGAAGAAAATATTCTCAAACATTAATTGTCCTTCGTCTGATTTTTATTATTGAGGAATCAAAAAAGTATCGATGAAATGAAGTTACATCAGTTATAGCTAAACAGTTACAACAAATAAATAAAGGATTCTCTATGTTAAATACTTTAACATGCTGAACATTAGAATAATTGACAGTGAATGAGTTGTGGAAGGGAGTCTGAAGCTCGGACGAGAAGCAGAGTTTGTCAGAAGTATTGTTGCATACTGCCATCATGTTTGGCCTTTGAATCAGGTTTGAAGTCACGACTGTAGTGAGAAATGAGACGGTAGCCGGAATAGAATGTCTAAGTTAGGCGCAAGCTGGGACAGATAAGTCGCTCGTCGCAGAAGCCTCTAGAACTTTAGGAAACCTTATTGGAATCCTGATGGTACCTCGGGCTAGCCAGAGTAATTGCCTTGAAGCACGTCGGTTACGAGTAGTGTGGTCACATCCGAAATCGAAAGTTCAACTGAGAATGTGGCCAAACTTTGAATCCACTGTGAAGCCGAGTCCCAAGCTAGAGCCAATAATTGGACCCCAAATTAAAGGCAGACAAGCACCAGTCTGCGAAAAACTCTGGAATGGATGCAAGACCAAGAGTGAAGCTAGAATGAATCGCTGAGTCGAGTCTGAAATCTGAATGAGAAGTGAGTCCTAGTAGAGTTCGCATTAAACATAGACAGCAAGATAGGCCTTGGGATCAGAACTAAAGCCGATAATGTAGCTGACGACACGACTGCAAATTTAGATAGGGTCTGAAATCAACGGCTCACTGAAATTGATAGCAGGACGATTATTTGAACTGCAACGTCGACAAAATCCAGAACTGGAATAGAAATTATAATCGAAACAAAAACAAACTTGGCGATGAAGATGGGAACACGAACAAAGATGATGGTCGACGCAGATACTAGAGCTGAGTCCTGGATTTCTGCGAGAATCGGAAACGATCCTATACGAGAACTGACGTTGGTACTAAGGCCAGGACTGCATCCGGATCTCGATCTTTGGTGAGAAGCATGGAATTGGGCAAGAATCGCTCTCAGTATTAGTGTCAAAAACGATTGTCTCCTCTCATATGTAGAAGAAATGTTTCAAGCTTTGTTGTACTAGAATTAACGATATTGAACAGCATCCTATTGCTTGTGAAGTCTTAATATTTTATCTGTCTTGTATAACGATGTCAAAAAAATCAAGTTAAGTCGTATTATAGTACACATTTTTTTCAACCATCGATTTACTTTCTCACTCCATCGATTAATCTATTCAATCGATGAGTGAGAGAACAAGCAAAACAACAATAATATAGGTATTAAAACAAAAGATATCTCAATAATAAATGATCATGTGCTATTTTACGTATGTAGATGAATGCACAAAGACAGATTTATTTTGTAATATATGCGTAGGCAATATCATATTTTAGTTTCTTGCATAGAATAACGTCGATAATTACACTCTTATTCTAGTAATGGATGCACACAATTTTACATGAATACATTGAGCAAATTTATTCTTTTGAAAGTGTAGTCTCTTTAGGAGACTTTTCTCACCATCTGTATCTAGCAGATTTTTTTACCATTAAGTAGCACTGCTAACTTTGTATTGTATTATTTTCACATTGTAGTAATTTTTTTTTCTAGTGATGAAAACATACCGAAATTCTGCATGAAATGAGTAGCAAAGATTCTAGTTAATTTTAAAATATTAATAAAATATCTCAAACTACTTTCTATATCAATTCAGATGTTGAAACTTTTGCTTAATATTTTGGCATATGAGTGTTCTTTAATTGGTAATAAAATGGGGCAATTTAGTTAAAATGTTGTCAATGCACCTTTGGTATGTAAGAATGATTGTTCGAAATCGATTGATTATATTTTCAATATTTCAAGAATATCATGTACAATTAAATTATGAATTAGTTGAAAAAATTATTTATACAATATATAAAAATATTGTCAGATAATACTGATACATCATATGCTCGGTCATTCTCACCCATATCAAAGATAATCATACAATCTAATGTAAAATATTGTAGAAAAGAAAAAATAATGTCTAAGTAGTTTTTAAAATAGGCACAATTTCATCAACAAAAAAGAATCTACAGCATGATAGTCAACTTCAAATGTTTGGTTTTGCTTTTGCTATTTATATTTATCATCAAGAAGAGCTAACTTAGACTTTACTAGTGGAAAATGTATCGAAATTGGGCATAACTCATATCACACAATAGGTATGATTGCGATGCATGTTCAGTTTCGAATTGTTTGTATTAATATTTATACAAATCAACTCAACTCAGAAAGCAAATTATTGAAAAAAAGAGTTTCGATACAGTAACACAAAGCAGACATTTATGTTGTTGTCACTTTATTTCTCTACACTTTAGTCGAGTAGAAGATGTCGCTGTCGTATAGTCATATCGCTTAACACTAGTCTAACAACAAGAGGAAGTGAATTACTTGGACATGAATTTTTTCCATAATCAGTGGTAGGATCTGTTTATGAGTTCTTTTGTATGCATACAGCTATGCTCATATGGAATTTATTTTTCTTACTTCAATTAATTCAAGTGAAAGCAGTGTTTCAATCAATTAATTCATTACTAATCTTATATGAGAAGAACATTGTTTATTATAAATTGCATAACAGATAACATCTTTTCAAAAAAACATTCAAAATTTAATTTTGTAGATGGTACATCCTCTCTTTTTGATCGAAAGAATCAATTACTAGCTAATCATAATGGTAAAATAGAGTAAAGCAAGATATTTTAGAGATATTAAAAATTGTCTCGATCTGTCATACATTAGAGAAATTGTTCTAGAAGTTGATATAAGTCTCTTTCCATGCGCTTTTATTTTTGTTAAAGTCTTAAATGAATATAAACTATTCACACAAGCTAGAACATTGTAAATTTTTTTAAAATTCTATTTTGTAGAAAATCAACTTTAACATAAGCTAAAACATTTTCAAAATTTGATTATCCATTCGTTGAATTTTAAATATTCTGAAAATGCTTGATTTTCTAACCAATAGAAATTCTAGAAAAAGTCAAAAATGAAAGCAACTTTCTGGAAAATCATTGCAACAATGACTACTATAGAGTTATTGTTCATTCATGTATATAAATCAGTCGACAGTGTTGTGCATTCATTATTTTTTTTTCAGCAACTGTAATGAGTTGACAAATTATATTTTTGTATGAATGGATACATAATATTTTTTTATTTATTTATTTATTTTATTAAGTATATTTATCTGAATTCAATGTTTATGAATTTATTTTAATTAAAATTAGAATTAAATTAAATTATTTATTTTATATAACAAATAAAAGAAACTTAATTATGAAATAAAAATGAAATTCAAAATTGAATTTCAAATTTCTAAAAAATGTTCAAATTGATAAACAAAATCCGAAATTCTAGGAATGTCCATATGAATTCATTTTCGATTTTCTTATTCTTAATATTTCGAATATATTATTCTCAAAGAATCAAAAATTCATCGGTGAATTCATATGAACATTTCTAGAATATTCTTCATTAAACTCTATAAATTCTTTTCTAGTTTACAATGAAGATCAAACAGAGTATGGGGGATATTTTCTATAGATGGAATAGTTATATGATGTCATAAAACAGTCAAGAAATAGAATAAGTCCAAACTAAAGAATTATGTATACTCTAAACAGTATGGTATGTTATTTCGTTTGTGTTTCACAACTCTTCTTTTATTGTGTAACTTTTGAAAATATATTGATCAATGGTTGAACGTCTTTCTTTCATGAAGATTAACAGAGTACTATATTTTCAATGTTTAGACATGTGATTGTACTCAATCTCACTAATAAATAAAGAGTTATGGCATGTTTTGTAATTATCATTATGAATGTTTATATCGTTGATGATAACCATTATCATAATGTTGCAATTTTCGATTTTTATTAGTTTGTTTTTGACTTGTTGGTATTAAAGTGATTAGTTGAAAACCAAGTAATTGAATAATATCTTCAACAAAATATTCTCGAACATTAATTGTTCTTTCTTTGACTTTTGTTATACAAAATATCAAAAAAATACTTTTGGAATAAATTTACATGAATTATTGCTAAACGATTACAAAAAATAAATACACTATTCTCTATGTTAAATAGTTTAACATGCTGAGCATTAGAATGAGTTTCAAGGAAGGATAAGCTTTTCACATATCATTCAGTAATATATTTTTCTGCAAGTATAAGTGGAAGCCAAAAACCTTTTACTCTATTTTCGACCATATTGTTTATGTTTCTTTTAGCTATCAATTTTATTTTTAATATAGATTAATGGACAAAATATTTATAAAACGATGACGATCTAGATTCAACTTGTTGATTATTATTGAGTGTGAATGTAGATCCTTACTGTACCACATAAAACGAACACTAACCAAATTTGATTTTCGATAGGGTATCAGGAGAAGGTAACAATCCATATTTCAACATCGTCCCCGCAGTGGGTACTAGAATCGTATCCGAAGTCGACAATGCAACTCTAACTGAAACTAGGAATGAACTGATGATTTGAATTATTTGTTCATCTGAGATGCAAGCTAAGACCGATGAGTCGACTGAAACTGAACTCTGCGTAGTTTCTGGGACTTCTATTGAAAACTCAACACTGTAATAGAGAAAGCGGACAAACTTTAGATGCACTCTGAAGCCGTGAGCTAATCTGAGAGTCGTCATGCGACACCAACTGAAATTAAGACATGTACGTTCAGTGAACGCTGAATAAGCCCTTGAATCGGAGCTGAAGCTCAAACTGTTAGAGAGATCAAGTCGTGGCCAGGATGAAGTCTGCAATCGAGATGTATACTAAGACAGATATCGAGCGTAACAGAATCGTACGCGGCTTCCACAATTCTTACAGAAACTTGGATAGGTATCGAGTAAAGTTCTGAAGCTCGAACCATACTGAAGCCTAGACAGAGTAGTCTTTTCGAAATACGATTACTACGAGCACTGTGGTCAAGTCCGAAGTTGATACTGTAATTGAGAAGGCGACCAAACTCTGTGTGTACTTTGAAGCCGAGACTCAAGCTGAGGCCAGTAATCGATCGCAAGCGAAACGAAGATGAATACCGATCCATGAAAATCTTCGGGATGGATGTCGCACCAGGAGTGAAATCCGAACGAGAAGTGAGATTTGGTAGAGCTCGCATCACACATAGCATGTCCGATAGACCTTGAGATCAAGTCTGAAGTCGATAATGTAACTGACTATGCGACTGAGAGTGTGAGTCGGGTCTACAACTGAATGATCACGGTCATTGGTAGCAGAATGATGATTTGAATTGCAACATAAACGAAAATCACGACTGGAATAGAAATCGTAATCAGAACAAGGATATACACGGCGATAGGAACGAAAATTTGAACGAAGATAGTGGCCCAGACAGATATTGAAACTGAGACCTAGGTCGATGATGGGCTCGAAAATGACTCTGGACAAAAACTGCTTAGGTTAGTTCAAGTGTAGTGACGGAGATATCGTAATTCTTTATAGAAAGCTTTAAGAAACTTTCTTTCTATATAGTCTAATAGAAAAAAGAATGTTCTATTTTTTCTATACTATTTAATCACACTTCAACTAATATCATAATAATAAAGTTTCGATAAAGTCTATTTGGTTTGAAAATGTTCTGGTTGTATAACTGCTGATTTCAACAAAGTTAGGAGAGTATTTTTTAGAGAACTTTTGAGTAGAAGAAGATAGAGAGCTGTGATTTTCACAGTTGGAACGAGAAGATGAAGGCGCATCGAATTCTATATTGCAAGGGTCTCCTAACCATGCTTTTCAAAAATGTTCCATTGACATTTTTGAAAACAACGCTTCTTCATGAATTGTTTACATTGAATGTTCAATTGTCAGGTGTGAATTCAAATCATCAATCAGAGATCTACAGAACTGAGAAAATATTACTGGTCTAAATTCAATCATCCAATATTTATACATATATTTTAGTGGGAAGTCTGCGTTATTTTTCGCAAGAGTTTTCGACAAAATCATATTTTTTGTTTTTCGAAATTTTGGAAATTGATACATATAAGTGAAGAATTCATATTGGAAACCTTTGTAATATAGAATTTGGTGTACCTTTATCTTCTCGTTTCAACTGTGAAAATCGCAGCTCTCTATCTTCTTCCACTCAAAAGTTATTTAAAAAATATTCACCTAACTTTGTTGAAATCAGCAGTTATACAACCAGATCACTTCCAAGTCAAACAGACTTTATTGAAACTTTATTATTGTAATATTAGTTGAAGTATGATCAAGTCGCATAAAAACATAGAACATTCTTTTCTCTATTTGAGTATAGAGAAAGAAAGTTTCTTAGAGCTTTCTATAAAGAATTAAGATATCTCCATCATTTCTTTTGGACTGACCTAAGTGTTTTGAAGATGATAGAAGACAACTTGAGCAATTCAATTTTATGAACTATCAAATCTTTCATTTAGATGCTAGTTGAGAGGAGAGCACGAGCCAAGTTCCAAATGAAAGATGAAGATTGTATTTGCAAGCTAGACTTATGGTTGAAACATGCAAGAATTTATTCTTCTCTAGTTTTGAAGTGAAGATCAAAGTCGAAACCAGTCGTAGAAATCTACATCTCTTCTGATTCTATCAGAAAGGTCTTCTAAAAACCCGTACTTGCGAACAATGAAATTTATAATGAATTTTATGCATGATTGTGAGTCTATGAAGAAAATAGATGTTGTTTATGATTATTGCAGATATTTTGCGTTGTACTGAAGAAGACAATCAAGATGTATGTATATTTTCTGTATGTACATTTTATTAAGATTGAAAACTATTGGAAATACAGAAAAAATGAAAATAAAAATTGTTGAGAATATGAGTAAAGGAAACTAAACTAAGCAAAAATATGAAAGAAGATAACTAACTAAATAAATAGATGAGAGGAAAGAACTAACTACTCTACAATGTTCAATGATAACCATATAATTGAATGAAAATGCATGATATTCGATGCTGGTGGACGTTTGTGCCATGTTTTCTATAAAGAAAAATTAGTAATTTAATCTAGTATCATAAATTACCCGACATGATAATCACAAAGAAGAATATACAACTGATGAAATAAAGTGCCAGCGACATTCTCTCAATGTGTTATCATTAAAGCAACATATTAATACAACATACCTGCCTTATGGCTTAAGACACTATTCAAATATTTTTCTTAGCTCGAGACAAACATAACCTATGTCTACTATGATCGAAGACCATATGCATCATGCAAAAATTATAACACGATACAATTTCTATACTTTACTAAGTTCGAACCAAAGATTCGCAATTGATTCCATGATTCAGCAACACAAGACAAAAGACTAGTTCAAACAACGACCACGAACACAAGAAAGAGTACAAATACCAACACTACCATGACGAACACCATAATAATTACCAGGACGAACACAAGCAACATCACCACCCTTAGCATTAGGACAACCACCATCAGAAGTACAAGGAATAAAATGACCAGGATCATTAGAATTACAATTAGCAACATTACGATAATTAAAACAACAATCACGAG